ATTTGTGAGAATGTCAATCCTTGGAGGCACTTCCAAAGAGCATCGGCAATTTGAACTCTCTTGTGGACTTGGATTTGTATAGATGTCGATCCTTGAAGGCACTTCCAGAGAGCATCGGCAATTTGAACTCTCTTGTGAAGTTGAATTTGAGAGAATGTCAATCCTTGGAGGCACTTCCAGAGAGCATCGGCAATTTGAACTCTCTTGTGGACTTGGATTTGTATACATGTCGATCCTTGAAGGCACTTCTAGAGAGCATCGGCAATTTGAACTCTCTTGTGAAGTTGAATTTGAGAGATTGTCAATCCTTGGAGGCACTTCCAAAGAGCATCGGCAATTTGAACTCTCTTGTGGACTTGGATTTGTTTAGATGTCGATCCTTGAAGGCACTTCCAGAGAGCATCGGCAATTTGAACTCTCTTGTGGAGTTGAATTTGTATGGATGTCGATCCTTGGAGGCACTTCAAGAGAGTATCGGCAATTTGAATTCTCTTGTGGAGTTGAATTTGTCTGCATGTGTATCCTTGAAGGCACTTCCAGATAGCATCGGCAATTTGAACTCTCTTGAGGACTTCGATTTGTATACATGTGGATCCTTGAAGGCACTTCCAGAAAGCATCGGCAATTTGAACTCTCTTGTGAAGTTGAATTTGGGAGATTGTCATCCTTGGAGTGACTTCCAAAGAGCATCGACAATTTGAACTCTCTTGTGGACTTGGATTTGTTTAGATGTCGATCCTTGAAGGCACTTCCAAAGAGCATCGGCAATTTGAACTCTCTTGTGAAGTTGAATTTGTATGGATGTCGATCCTTGGAGGCACTTCAAGAGAGTATCGGCAAGTTGAATTCTCTTGTGGAGTTGAATTTGTCTGCATGTGTATCCTTGAAGGCACTTCCAGATAGCATCGGCAATTTGAACTCTCTTGTGAAGTTGGATTTGAGAGTTTGTAAATCCATGAAGGCATTTCCAGAGAGCATTGGCAATTTGAACTCTCTTGTGAAGTTGAATTTGTATGGATGTCGATCCTTGGAGGCACTTCCAGAGAGTATCGGCAATTTGAATTCTCTTGTGGAGTTGAATTTGTCTGCATGTGTATCCTTGAAGGCACTTCCAGATAGCATCGGCAATTTGAACTCTCTTGTGGACTTCGATTTGTATACATGTGGATCCTTGAATGCACTTCCAAAGAGCATCGGTAATTTGAACTCTCTTGTGAAGTTGAATTTGGGAGATTGTCAATCCTTGGAGGCACTTCCAAAGAGCATCGACAATTTGAACTCTCTTGTGGACTTGGATTTGTCTAGATGTGGATCCTTGAAGGCACTTCCAGAGAGCATCGGCAATTTGAACTCTCTTGTGCAGTTGAAATTGTATGGATGTGGATCCTTGAAGGCACTTCCAGAGAGCATCGGCAATTTGAACTCTCTTGTGAAGTTGAATTTGAGAGGATGTCAATCCTTGAAGGCACTTCCAGAGAGCATCGGCAATTTGAACTCTCTTGTGGACTTGCATTTGTATGCATGTCGATCCTTGAAGGCACTTCCAGAGAGCATCGGCAATTTGAACTCTCTTGTGAAGTTGAATTTGGGAGTTTGTCAATCCTTGGAGGCACTTCCAGAGAGCATCGGCAATTTGAACTCTCTTGTGAAGTTGAATTTGTATTGATGAGGATCCTTGAAGGCACTTCCAGAGAGCATCGGCAATTTGAATTCTTTTGTGCAGTTGAGATTGTATGGATGTGGATCCTTGAATGCACTTCTAGAGAGCATCGGTAATTTGAACTCTCTTGTGAAGTTGAATTTGAGAGATTGTCAATCCTTGGAGGCACTTCCAAAGAGCATCGGCAATTTGAACTCTCTTGTGGACTTGGATTTGTTTAGATGTCGATCCTTGCAGGCACTTCCAGAGAGCATCGGCAATTTGAACTCTCTTGTGGAGTTGAATTTGTATGGATGTCGATCCTTGGAGGCACTTCAAGAGAGTATCGGTAATTTGAATTCTCTTGTGGAGTTGAATTTGTCTGCATGTGTATCCTTGAAGGCACTTCCAGATAGCATCGGCAATTTGAACTCTCTTGAGGACTTCGATTTGTATACATGTGGATCCTTGAAGGCACTTCCAGAAAGCATCGGCAATTTGAACTCTCTTGTGAAGTTGAATTTGGAAGATTGTCAATCCTTGGAGGCACTTCCAAAGAGCATCGACAATTTGAACTCTCTTGTGGACTTGGATTTGTTTAGATGTCGATCCTTGAAGGCACTTCCAGAGAGCATCGGCAATTTGAACTCTCTTGTGAAGTTGAATTGAGAGATGTCGATCCTTGGAGGCACTTCAAGAGAGTATCGGCAATTTGAATTCTCTTGTGGAGTTGAATTTGTCTGCATGTGTATCCTTGAAGGCACTTCCAGAGAGCATCGGCAATTTGAACTCTCTTGTGGACTTGGATTTGTATACATGTGGATCCTTGAATGCACTTCCAGAGAGCATCGGCAATTTGAACTCTCTTGTGAAGTTGAATTTGGGAGATTGTCAATCCTTGGAGGCACTTCCAAAGAGCATCGACAATTTGAACTCTCTTGTGGACTTGGATTTGTTTAGATGTCGATCCTTGAAGGCACTTCTAGAGAGCATCGGCAATTTGAATTCTTTTGTGCAGTTGAGTTTGTATGGATGTGGATCCTTGAAGGCACTTCCAGAGAGCATCGGCAATTTGAACTCTCTTGTGAAGTTGAATTTGAGAGATTGTCAATCCTTGGAGGCACTTCCAGAGAGCATCGACAATTTGAACTCTCTTGTGGACTTGGATTTGTATACATGTCGATCCTTGAAGGCACTTCCAGAGAGCATCGGCAATTTGAACTCTCTTGTGAAGTTGAATTTGAGAGATTGTCAATCCTTGGAGGCACTTCCAAAGAGCATCGGCAATTTGAACTCTCTTGTGGACTTGGATTTGTTTAGATGTCCATCCTTGAAGGCACTTCCAGAGAGCATCGGCAATTTGAACTCTCTTGTGGAGTTGAATTTGTATGGATGTCGATCCTTGGAGGCACTTCAAGAGAGTATCGGCAATTTGAATTCTCTTGTGGAGTTGAATTTGGTTGCATGTGTATCCTTGAAGGCACTTCCAGATAGCATCGGTAATTTGAACTCTCTTGAAGACTTCGATTTGTATACATGTGGATCCTTGAAGGCACTTCCAGAAAGCATCGGCAATTGAACTCTCTTGTGAAGTGAATTGGGAGATTGTGAATCCTGGAGGCACTCCAAAGAGCATCGACAATTTGAACTCTCTTGTGGACTTGGATTTGTTTAGATGTCGATCCTTGAAGGCACTTCCAAAGAGCATCGGCAATTTGAACTCTCTTGTGAAGTTGAATTTGAGAGATTGTCAATCCTTGGAGGCACTTCCAGAGAGCATCGACAATTTGAACTCTCTTGTGGACTTGGATTTGTATACATGTCGATCCTTGAAGGCACTTCTAGAGAGCATCGGCAATTTGAACTCTCTTGTGAAGTTGAATTTGAGAGATTGTCAATCCTTGGAGGCACTTCCAAAGAGCATCGGCAATTTGAACTCTCTTGTGGACTTGGATTGTTTTAGATGTCGATCCTTGAAGGCACTTCCAGAGAGCATCGGCAATTTGAACTCTCTTGTGGAGTTGAATTTGTATGGATGTCGATCCTTGGAGGCACTTCAAGAGAGCATCGGCAATTTGAACTCTCTTGTGGAGTTGAATTTGTGTGCATGTGTATCCTTGAAGGCACTTCCAGAGAGCATCGGCAATTTGAACTCTCTTGTGGACTTCGATTTGTATACATGTGGATCCTTGAAGGCACTTCCAGAAAGCATCGGCAATTTGAACTCTCTTGTGAAGTTGAATTTGGGAGATTGTCAATCCTTGGAGGCACTTCCAAAGAGCATCGACAATTTGAACTCTCTTGTGGACTTGGATTTGTTTAGATGTCGATCCTTGAAGGCACTTCCAAAGAGCATCGGCAATTTGAACTCTCTTGTGAAGTTGAATTTGTATGGATGTCGATCCTTGGAGGCACTTCAAGAGAGTATCGGCAAGTTCAATTCTCTTGTGGAGTTGAATTTGTCTGCATGTGTATCCTTGAAGGCACTTCCAGATAGCATCGGCAATTTGAACTCTCTTGTGGACTTCGATTTGTATACATGTTGATCCTTGAATGCACTTTCAAAGAGCATCGGCAATTTGAACTCTCTTGTGAAGTTGAATTTGGGAGATTGTCAATCCTTGGAGGCACTTCCAAAGAGCATCGACAATTTGAACTCTCTTGTGGACTTGGATTTGTTTAGATGTCGATCCTTGAAGGCACTTCTAGAGAGCATCGGCAATTTGAATCCATTTGTGCAGTTGAGATTGTATGGATGTGGATCCTTGAAGGCACTTCCACAGAGCATCGGCAATTTGAACTCTCTTGTGAAGTTGAATTTGAGAGATTGTCAATCCTTGGAGGCACTTCCAGAGAGCATCGACAATTTGAACTCTCTTGTGGACTTGGATTTGTATACATGTCGATCCTTGAAGGCACTTCCAGAGAGCATCGGCAATTTGAACTCTCTTGTGAAGTTGAATTTGAGAGAATGTCAATCCTTGGAGGCACTTCCAGAGAGCATCGGCAATTTGAACTCTCTTGTGGACTTGGATTTGTTTAGATGTCGATCCTTGAAGGCACTTCCAGAGAGCATCGGCAATTTGAACTCTCTTGTGGAGTTGAATTTGTATGGATGTCGATCTTGAGAGGCACTTCCAGAGAGCATCGGCAATTTGAACTCTCTTGTGGAGTTGAATTTGTCTGCATGTGTATCCTTGAAGGCACTTCCAGAGAGCATCGGCAATTTGAACTCTCTTGAGGAGTTGGATTTGTATACATGTGGATCCTTGAAGGCACTTCCAGAGAGCATCGGCAATTTGAACTCTCTTGTGAAGTTGAATTTGGGAGATTGTCAATCCTTGGAGGCACTTCCAAAGAGCATCGACAATTTGAACTCTCTTGTGGACTTGGATTTGTTTAGATGTCAATCCTTGAAGGCACTTCCAGAGAGCATCGGCAATTTGAACTCTCTTGTGAAGTTGAATTTGTATGGATGTCGATCCTTGGAGGCACTTCAAGAGAGTATCGGCAATTTGAATTCTCTTGTGGAGTTGAATTTGTCTGCATGTGTATCCTTGAAGGCACTTCCAGATAGCATCGGCAATTTGAACTCTCTTGTGGACTTCGATTTGTATACATGTTGATCCTTGAAGGCACTTCCAAAGAGCATCGGCAATTTGAACTCTCTTGTGAAGTTGAATTTGGGAGATTGTCAATCCTTGGAGGCACTTCCAAAGAGCATCGACAATTTGAACTCTCTTGTGGACTTGGATTTGTTTAGATGTCGATCCTTGAAGGCACTTCTAGAGAGCATCGGCAATTTGAATCCATTTGTGCAGTTGAGATTGTATGGATGTGGATCCTTGAAGGCACTTCCACAGAGCATCGGCAATTTGAACTCTCTTGAGGACTTCGATTTGTA